GGCTATTGGAGACAGCAGGATCCCGATCTATGGTTTAAACCCACAGATCATGAAATCACTCCGGAGATCCAAAGGTCAAGCAAGATCGCGGAGTATCGACAGTTGACGACCATGGATAGTCCCGTGGTTACTGGAAACACCATTCGCCAGGTAAATGGTTTCGCCAGGCGAAGATCACAGGCAAGATCCACAATGAGAAGGCGATCTTACTCTTAGATACCGGCGCCGAGGTGTCCATCGTGGACACCGCCTTTGCTCGTAAGGTTGAGTGCTATATCGACTCGATTCAGATCCAAGACTGCGTGGGAATTGGAGATAATGTGTACCGGACGGAAGGAAGAACTCGGATAAAGGTGACGCTCACTGGATCACTGGTGTATTTCTTCGATATCTGGGTGGGTGATCTGACCGGCCAATAAGCTATACTCGGCATGGACTTCATGGTTCCAGCTGGGATCCGCCTAGGTCTTGCCCATGGATCGATTAGTTTGCCGGACGAAGTCCGGATCCAGCTTAGCGGAAGGCGACAGCTTTGTAGCGACAAGGCGACAATCATCAACGTCGGCCAATATCTTCGGATCCAAGCAGGAGAGTCGGTGGAAGTGCTATTGCGCCTGAGGTCGTCGATCCACTGTGGATCACGCGTGGAGATCAATGGATACCGACAATATCCAGTGGACCAGGGCGGACGAAATATATCGCGATCACCAATAACGGAAACGAGGTGATGATCCTGCATCAGGACCAACGGATCAGGATCTGGCTGGCTGGGGATCATGTGCCACGGATACCGGGTTTTATCTCGATCGGCTCTCGTCGTTACATTGAGTGGCAGAATCTAGTGTTGGAAGCTACAACAAACATCCGATCCGAAGGAATGGAGGTCGAGATTCCGCTGGTGCCCGCGGTGGAGCGGCCTGAGTATGAAACTCCGCCCAAAACAACAAAGACCGAGGGCAACGTTGATCCAGTGTCGAAAGGTCGAGGCGAGTCCGGATCAAGACATTCAGGACTGCCCACCCTCGGACGAGTTGCCGCCGGACAAGTCGCCGTCGGACAAATCGCCGTCGGAGATGCGACCGTGGGATCTAGCGTCGGTCGCGAGTGAAGAGTCGGATCTATCGTCTATCGCAGATGAAGGCTCCATATCGCTTGCCGCAACGGTCAAGGAGGCGCCAGAAGATCATGATCAAGTGACACCAGACATATGGGCGACTAATCCGCTGGTGGAAAAAACCACAGACATGAAGGCCTGCGAAAAGAAGATGACCGAGATGAAATTGGGGATGTCAGCCTGGATCAACTACATTCGAGGGGCCAAGATCAAGGAAAATCGCGGTCGGAATGCGGTGGGTCGGATCTGCCATCAATGATGAGTGTACAGCCTGGGACATGTGACCGGTGATCCATTGAACGACAAGTGTACCCCGTCTATGTTGCAAAAAACGTACATGGATCCATCACCTGTTGTGGAAGATCAACCAGGCACATCGGATCTGGATCTTACCTGGGACTCAGATCAAGACTATGATGAATGCGTGTATTACCATGAAGGAAGCGATCTATACGCCGAGGATATCATGAAGGAAGCGATCTATACGCCGAAGATGTCGATGGTCAGATGGCGGTGCTGCCCGAAGTACCTGTGGCGACGGAAGATGTGAGGATCGAAGATATTCAACTATGCAGATCTGATAATCAGACTCCAGAAGAAATCGAGCGACTCCGCCAAAAGATCTGGAAGTTCCGACATCTCTTGATCGGTAAGGGAAATGCCCTTCCGCCGGCAGCTAGAAGTGTGGTGTGCGATATCGATGTTGGGGGAGCGAGACCCATCGCCCTCAA